TCTTACAAGTACCCAGCAGCTGCTGGGGCTGCTTTCTTTGGATCACACTTTGAGTAACACTGTTCCAGAATTTTTTGGCTTGGAGAAGGATGTGGGGAGGGCTATGCAATGAATGGAAACCTGATACTTAAACTGTACATTCTAAAGTTAATGACCATTTGGATGAATAATTAAGGAATTTCATTAGCTCGTAATCTTAACGTTGTTGTTTGTTTTGGGTTTTCTGCTTGGTTGCTGTGTGACCAGATCAAGTCATTATATTTTTCTATATCTCAATCATTATCCCAAAGAGGCCAATTTTTAAAAACCAACAGCTTCCTTATTTATTGGTCTCCTTTTCTTAGAGGTGGATACTAACTCTGTGAATGCAAAAGAGCTTTCAATTATACTATTCTACTCGCCTGACATTCCCTGGGCCTGGTGGGGACAGGTCAGGACAGACCCTCCATGCTCTGGGCAAACAATGCAACAAAGCCAAGGACCAAATGGATGCCCAGGGTGAGGTGCTCTGTCATCCAGGTATAGGATCAGGCTAAAAAAAGTGAGTGAGAGAAAGGGGAAGAAACCCTGTCTACACTTTCTTCTTAAAACTGGAATGAATCCAACTTTTATGTGAAAATACACACACACATACACACACACACACACACACACACACACACAAAGGAAGGAGGGAGGAAGGAAGGAAGAAAGGAAGGAGGAAGATTCAGAGTTTGAACTGAATCAGAGTTCAGGATTGAGGGTCCCACTAAAAGTTGGACACGAACATCAGGAGGAAATCAAAGCACACAATTTTGTGCCTACTCTCCCGTAACCCATCAGAAAAGAATTCTCCCACAAACTGGGAGTCTTTGCTGTCCTGGGTATGAGGTGCAGAGGCAGGAAGTCTTCTCGATGTGTACATGTACATGCACACACACATGCATACACACAAACCCTCCAGGGCAATGTAAGGAGCACAGCTCACAGACACCAAGTCTAACTGTCCCTGGATGAGCAGGAAAAAGACGCCAAAATTAACCCACATTAGAAATCCTTCTTTGGCTGATCAAGTCACCAGCAATTTCATTTTTCATTTGTTAGTTGGGGGAAAAAAAAGAAGCCCTCAGCAAGTGGCTGTCCCCCAGACCTCCATGGTATCTCTTCAGCTTGGTCCTGCACTTGTAAGCAAATGTGATTGGAAATCAAACTGGTCCAAATATTTGCTTTCCAGATTTTTCTCTTTCTAAAGTTTAAAAAATGAAGTTTCTTTCTTCTTTTCCTGAGGTTTGAGCCTGAGAAGAGCTCCCTACATGGTGGGACCCTGTCGAGGAGGAAAGGCTTCGTAACCCAGGCGCTTCAGCCCCTCATTTGGTTGCCTGAACAATTTCACCTTTGAAGCAGCTTTACGTAACCCTGCAGGCAGCGCTGACTCAAACCACCTGCCGTAGGTGTTTGGTTATGGCTCAGTCTCCGGGATTGCTACAGACAGCATCCTAGAACAAGAGGGTAGTCCTGGATCCAGTCTCTGAAACACCGTATTCCAGATCCTTCATTGTAGAGATGAAGAACCAGATTTTCCAAGAGATTGAGGGACTCCATCAAGGCTGCCCAGCTATTTAGAAGCAGAACCGGGTTAAAATCATTCGGACACAGGTCTGACTACCAGCTAATGTTCTTAACTTAATTGTGCAGAAGCATATTCTCCAATTAAGTGCAAACAATGCTCTAAACTAAAAACAGACCCGCTGCTGCCAGGTCAGTAAGGACTTCTAATACTGACAAAATGGAATTTAAGAGGAACACCCAATATCAGGATTCTATCTGAAATCTTGAAACTCCCTAGCCTGTAGTCAGCACACTATTATTTCTTATGTCCACATCTCAGAAGGCTGCATTCTCCACCAGGGAGGTCCTGTCCTGTCCACCCCCAACCAACTGCTTAGCACAGACCTCAAACATAATGAACACTTAGTACACCTTTATTGAAATAAATGAGTGCCCAAAACACTCAAGCAGAGTAGGGAAGGTAAAGATGCTCTATAAACTGAGAATGGGGGAAAAAAAAGAATTATCTGAAATAGAAAACTCAGGGAGGACAGTTGCCTACATACAGAGGATTACCAGGGGGGTGGGTTCTAGACTAAAGCACATTGTTTCCGGAGCTCATTCGTGATTCTCCTTTCTTTACTTTTTAGGACATTTTGCTATCTTAATTGAAAGCCCTGCACACCTCTGATCAACCACTGTCCCTCCTGAGGGACCAGCACACATGCAATCCCTTTGGAAAAGCTTAATCAGCCCTAATTGAGTCACAGCATTAACCCAAATTAATTAGACTTTAAGAAAGTTGTCAACACCCTTCAAGGTAACCTGGGCTCCAACTCCTCCCTAGCCTTCACAGGGAGAAGACTACGGAAATTCTGCCAGTGACCTGTGAATACAGGCCTCTTTCTTTTCAAAGATGTTCGCTCATTGGCTTTTTATTTCTATGCTAAACAGAAATCAAAACAGAACATCAGACTCCAGGAAGGATCACAGAACCTCCAAGTCCAAAACAACCTATTTCTGTTGTGCCTTGACAAAGAAGCAATGTGGTGGCCCCTTAGTGGAATCCCCATCTCAGAAAGGAGTAACTGCCTTCCTGGAAACCAAATACATCCAGGATGGGAGGAGAACCAAGTGTCTGCAGCTCTAAAAGTCACTGAATCAAACAAATAAAAGTAAACCTTTTAATCTCCAGGTCTTGTCACTGCAGCAGTTCAAATATACCCTAAGATTCCATCCGCTAATTTAATGACCATAAGCTTTGTCTCTAATGGCTCAGCATTAATAACTGGCAGCCAAATTTGCAAACTTATTCTTAAGGCACATTTATTTTGCATTTGATAAATAAGCATCATTAAAAAAAATACCACTGGGGCGCCTGGGTGGCGCAGTTGGTTAAGCGTCCGACTTCAGCCAGGTCACGATCTCGCGGTCCGTGAGTTCGAGCCCTGCGTCGGGCTCTGGGCTGATGGCTCAGAGCCTGGAGCCTGTTTCGGATTCTGTGTCTCCCTCTCTCTCTGCCCCTCCCCCGTTCATGCTCTGTTTCTCTCTGTCCCAAAAATAAATAAACGTTGAAAAAAAAAATTAAAAAAAAAAATACCACCATATTCTTACACAACACCTTTAAGTAGAAAACCCCAATAAAGGTGTCTTCTTGTGAAGATTCTCATACCCAGGTGACAGGTAGTACACAGGTGTTTCTATCACCATTTCAGAATGAGGAAACAGCCTCAGGGACTTGAACTAAGTGAGTCAGTTATGAGGCTGAAATAGAAACCAAACTTCAAGATGACCTTGAAGTAAATCCAGCCAGGAAAGAAGGTGTAAATTAATAGTGACACTTGTCTAGCCTAATGTGACTCCAGAAAACAAGTCAAAAAAAATAGCCTCATAAAAACAAGCCTTCCTGCCAAATCCAAAGTATTATTGAACATATGCCATTACCTTGGCAAATTTACCACAGAAGCTGGCTGTTTGGGGTACAGCCACATGTCATACACACTCTACCTATGCTGGCTTGTTTTCCTTCCTGAGTGTAGTCCACAGAACACTCAAATGACTATGTGTCTCACGAAACTACTTGCTACAATATATGCTTAGTCTTAGATCTCACATTTCATTTTAAAATCTGTTCGAGAGCATTTGTTAACTGGTTTACTAGGATCAGGGGCATAGTTAGAGGGAACAGCCCATCCAGCAGAGAGAAAAACCAGTTCTAAAGACATCTGAGGATTGGGGGACTCCATCAAGGCCACTCAATTACCGAGTAGCCGAGCTGGGTCAAAATGAAGAACATAGGTCTGAATATCAGCCAATGCCCTTAACCTCCTCTTACAAAAATCAAGTTCCCCAATTAAGTGGAAACAAGACTCTAAGCTAAAAGCTACCCTTCTGTACCCAGATCAATCAGGATTTCTACTATTGGCAGGAAGGGTATAAAAGGAACTCTGAAGGCCTGGGTAAAACCTTTCCTCTGCAAAAGACCCTCTTCTCTTCCTCACCCCTGCTCGCCCACTCCGATGTATTTCTTGCCACTAGGATTTCTTTTTTTGTTTTTTAAGTTTTATTTATTTATTTTGAGAGAGAGTGAGAGAGAGAACATGAGCAGGGGGAGGGAGGGGCAAAGAGAGAGAGGGAGAGAAAGAATCCTAAGCAGGGGCTCGAACCAATGAACTGAACCCTGAGATCATGATGTGAGCCAAGATCAAGAGTTGGGGCTTAACCGACTAAATTGCCCAGACACCCCACCAGTAGAATTTCAAAGCCTGATAATCTTGGACTTGCTTATGATGAGAAAAAAGCAAGAGCTGGAAAGTTTGGCTGGCATCAAAGCACCCTTCCCACCCCAAAATATGCATGATTACGTCTGTATCTGTTGGGGGACAAAAGGCATGAGAAATGAGGAAAAGGGAAAACAGAAAAGAAGGGGCAGCAGAAATATGTTCTAGTAAAAACCACACCAATCCAGAAACTGAGGAGTGTGATACAGCCGGAGTAGTAAAGCCCCAAAATAAAAAGCAACAAGAAAACACAAAACTATGCCAACTCAAGAGACTAACAAAACACACAGAATATACATTTGATGGATGAGTAACCCAAGGCTCTCCAGGGACTTGGAGGGAGGTCATTTAATTTTATAAACAAGACCTGGGGTGGAAACTAGACGGTCATTCCCACTGAGCCCATCACTCCAACTCCCTAAACTGAAATCTTTCTTGCCAGAACTGCTGAAAATATGAAGGCTTCTTGGGACCATACTTTCAACCCAAAATGCAGGAAAGAAGGCCCTCTTCCCACTACACTTAAACTGTGTTTTGTTATCCATCTACTTCTCTAAGCAGGAGGCTCTGTGAGGGCAGGGACCTGAGCTGTGTGGGGCACTCAGTACAGTACCTGGATCATGGTGGGAATTTGGTGCATCTTTTGCTAAACGGGTGATTTGCTGCGACACAATGAGACCTGACTCTACTTACACTTATGGGAGAGAAGCACGTCAAAGGAATCTGCCCACCTCGTGGCTTCTTCTGTGGATAGTCTCCTAGGAAAGAAGAAACATCTCTCTTGAATATTTCTGAAATGACCCCCCACCCCTGCCCCGCCATCAGCAACCATTGAGATTTGCTCAGGCAAACAAATCAGAACAATGAGAGGAAGGGGTACAGACGAAGAACCACACCTGGATTCCTACAGTTCTGTCACTGTCGATGGGTACATTCTTAAGTAACTGATGGCAAACCTCAGTACTGGAATTCAGTGTGTTGAGTACATTAGACTTCAGTCTAAAAAACCAAGCTAAGTAAGCACATGATATAAAGATGCCAAGACAACAATGGAAAGAAACCAGCCTTAGAGTCAGAAAAGGTAGGCTGAGCTTCTGACTCCATATTTTACTGTGACATAAATCTCTTCACCTGTGCAAAGGGTATCATGATGCACATCCCAGAACCTCGCAAGGGTTAAAGAAGGTAACATCTAGGACATCATTTAACACAGTACTTGCACAGTACAGGCACTGAATCCAGATTATCTGAACCTAAACACATTTTTAGAGTATTTTTGAGTGCTTGTTTCCAAACTAAGAGCTCAGATGGCCAACTAAGTAGAACCAGGGAGTATCCTTCATCACAGATTCATAAGAGTGGTGGATAATATGGTTCTCTTAAAAGTAAAAAGAGCTGGTGGCACCTGGGTGGCTCAGTCAGTTAAGCGTCCGACTTCAGCTGAGGTTATAATCTCGTTTGTGGGTTCGAGCCCCACTGTGCTGACAGCTCGGAGCCTGGAGCCCGCTTCGGATTCTGTGTCTCCCTCCCTCTCTGCCCCTCCCCGACTCACACTCTGTCTTTCTCTCAAAAATAAAGAAACGTTAAAAAAAAAAAAGTAAAAACAGGGTTCCTATTCTGAATTAAATCATGCATTTTGAAAAGGAAAGTACACGTCCATGCACTCTCGTTTAGGGATATAAAAGAAGCTGCCAAGTGGCAGGGATTTACTGTCACCCGGCTCATCTGGTCAACAACTCAATAGAGAAGAACAGGTCCTACAGCCCTGAGGTGGGCACCCCATGGTTAGCTCCCTGGGAATGCCAGGTGGCCGCACTACTCACTTTAGAGCACGGTTGGGTTTGTCGGGAAGAATAGCTGTGAAATCACTACACGAGTCTGACTTGTGAGACAGGCATCCCAGGCGGGTCCTCATCCCTTTGTTCCTGCAACAACACAGGGCAGAAGGACGGGGAACTGTTGTGATCGTACCTGTCAGCTCTAGAAAAGCCCCCCGGAACTGCTGCTGCAGGAGCCTCAGCTGCCTCCCCTGACCCCCCCATCCTGCCCCAGGCGGTCCCTAAAGATTTCATGAACAAGAGGAGAGATACCTAGAAGATCAAGGGATATACTCACTCCCTAACTCGACTACTGGAATGGTAATAGGTACCCTACCCCCTAGAGGCTTAAGGCTTTTTCAAAGCTAACATTCAACTTGATAGTAAGTCAATGAAGGTCATTAGCTTGGAAGAATTTCTAAATTGGGATTCTCTGTAGGGAAAGGAAATACGGCGAAGACAAAATAACAATCCACATTTTGCTCTCCCACTAGGAGGGCAAAGGAGCAAGAGCAGCAGTTTCTGATTGCAAAGCCTTGGAAGTGGTACCCACACAGAGGGTAGAGAGCTGTTCGCATAAGACAGGGGTGCAGACCACAGAATCTCAGCACACAAACGAAGCTTTAAGGCAAATTAATTCTGACTCAGGTTCTCCCCACTCATCCCCAAACCTGGGGGGATGTATATACTTATACATAAATGGCTACGGACCAGCAAGGACCAACACCCATAGGTGACTGCAATGAATGGTCAAGAACCAGGACCCCTTTCTCAGTTCTTTCATGGACTTCACTCATCTCTCATATTCCTACTTATATTCTGGCTTATCTCAATCAGCATGTTTACAATTTTAACACATATGTGTAAAATTCTTGTACTTTTTATTTTCCTAAGATGTTTAAAGGTTCTCTGTTATGGAGAATCCAATGGGAAATTACGCGAATGTCTCTTTCTGACTTACAACATTAGTGCCTTTTAACCTTTAACCAGAGATCAGCAAACTACGGCCCCACAAGATGCCTGTTTGTGTAAATAAAGTTTACTGGAACACGACAGCACCCATTCATTTCCATATTGTCTAAAGCTGCTTTCAAGCAGGAGGGCAGAGTTGGATGGTTACAATACAGACTGTATAAAACTCAAAATATTTACTCTCTGTCCTTTGACAGAGTAAGTTTACTAACCCTGGACCTTTAACCGTGGCAGCTCCTTGCATGCAGAGCAAAGGTAAGTGGGAAGGGTTTGGGGTAATCAAATCAGGACTTTGGAGTGACCTAAAAGGGCACCACCACATGCACACTGGTAACAATTTGCCACAGAAATAGTCCTATAGAAGTTATTTTCCATGTGAAAGGGACGTTCTTCCAGCCTGGCTTTCCCTTCCCCTGTTTCACGAATCCTGGACCTGGGCAGAGACATTAGAAGCCATCCAATTCGATCTCTTCCTTTCACTCCACATGGGTTTTCATCCCTGTCCCAGCTTCTCCAACAAACGTCAACTGGGATGGTATTATATTTGGCAAGGGTGGACATTTGTATTCCACAGCCCATCTCCGAGAGCCTTTTAAAGCTGGAACATCCAAGTTCCCAGAAATATCCCCTCTCCTGCAGAAAACTGGGTCTGCACGTCCTATGTTCCCACCTCTGATCTCAGCCAGGCGCATTATGAAGCCATCGATTTTGTGGCATTTTAAAACATTGGTGCTAGCCATTCTATCTCCGGCGATGGTGAGCATGTTATGTCCACTCACTCTTACAAATCACAGGGTGCTCTGACACCAGGCCATGTGAGCAACTGATTAAGGGCCCCTGAGTCACCACATTCCATGAATTCAAGTAAAGGTCTTGCTCTGGCTGCACCAAGGCCAAAACCCAACTTTCAGGGAGTACATTCACTCCTCGGTGCCCCAGAATCATCAATCACAGAAGAGTCAGGTCAATGCCCCCGAAGAGCAATTAAGAGGACTTCAAAAAATGGCAAATCCACAAAAGCCATCTAACCAAGTTTAGCAGGGGCCAGTGTACAGGGTATACTTGTTACCAAGACAACGGTGATTCTCCCAAATAGTTTGCAAAGATCTTCCACAAGATATTCTTTGGGGCCAAATGGTTTTGATTTTCCATCTTGTGTAGCTGAGACCTGAATTATAACCCTGTTAGTTAGGTCTGAAATAATGGGAGCAGAAGTGAGAGTCAAAGGTTAAGGTTACTTAAAAACAACAACAACAACACAAAACCAGAAATCAAAGCTTGCCCTCATCTCTCTTCCCTGTTCCAGTACCTTATAGAGGTCCCTAAATGGTTCAGTACAAGCTCATGCACAGTCCCACCCCATGAGTCCCACCAGTCAATAGGAGGGTTTGGCGCTAAGGCAGGTCCCGTTTGCAAGGCCACAACTTTGCAAGAAGCACCCAGGAAGGACAGCATGGTCCACACAGATGGCCTGAGGGGCTGGATGCAAGTGGACCACCCGTGGGATTAGAAGGCTGGGGCAGGCTCAAACAGCAGGGGAGAAAGGGGAAAGGGACAGGCGCGGGAAGACAGGTTAGCATCATTACCTGCGTGGCATCAGTAAAGCGGCCATGCAGGCACACGCTTACGGTTAACCCTCTGGCCGGTGTGCAGGGACGTCAGGGCGGGAGATAAGACTGCGGGGCACAGGGGTAAATCCCTCTCACGTCCTCTCACCTAAAATCAAAGAATCTGCTGTAAGAGGGGGACCACCCTCTCTTATCTGACTGCGCTACAAATCCTCTTGGATGGCTTTCCGCTGACAGAATACCTTCCCACACACAGCCCGCTCCCCACAAATGCCTGCTTGTCCTGAGGAAGGGTGACCAACTAAGGATGAACAGGGACAAATTGCTGGGTGGCTCCTACGTCCCCAAAACGCAGCCCATCAACAGTGAAGTGGGGCACATGCCCCAGGGGAGGGAGGCATGGGCCTGGCAAGCCAAAAATTACCATTCTCTTTGTCTTACTCCGGTGGGGCCCAAGTGAACAGCCAGCCAGGGGTGGGGAGTGGGTGGTCAGCGCTTGTTCTAGAATTATTTGATTGGCTGCCTCTCTGATTCTCGCCTTCCTCTAAGGATGGGATGCAAGGAGCCTTGGGAGGGTATAAGCAGGAGAAAGGGTGAAGGCTCATCGAGCACTGTCACGGCTCCTTTGCAGGGATCACAGGCACAAGCTGACAAAATGAATATGCCAACCTCTCTGTCTTGCCCACGGGGAGGCTGCCTGACCTTCCTCAGCCTGGGCACTGGCCTGTTCCCGACCTGAAGCAGGGAGGACATCAGGAAAGGGGATACTGAGGCTGAGGGCTCATCGACTGATCATCTCTCTCTCCTGAGGGTCCCACTCTCAGTACTTCAAACCCTTTGTTCCCACAAAAATGACAGGAAGAAACACGTGAAGAGAGCAGCCTATCCATAAAGGGCTCCCCCGGGGAACCCTGACACCAAACATAGAATCCATTTTAAAAGAAACCTAATTTAGATAGATACGGTCCCCACTCGATCTTACTCCATGTAAGTTATTTTGATATTACACGGAACATTTCAACAAATACTTTTTGAAATACCGTCTCAAATAATACCATAATTAATAAAATTAAAAGACTGCTTTAAAACTAAACTAAAAAATAAATAAATAAAACCAGTTAGACTTTGTGTAAAAGCTCATCCCCAGGCGACTGAGCTTAGATCATGTTCCCTGCCAGTGAGGACGTCTCCTTCATCCTTGTCCTAATGGTGCGCACACCTGCCTGGCCAGAAGTCAGGAAATTGAAGCTCTTTGCAGCCTTAAGGTTCTCCTACAGCTGCAAGAAATCACTGTTTGGGGCACCTCTGCCTCATTTCCTCCTGCTTATGGGAAACAGCCACAGAGGACGGGAAGCCAGTGCCAGGGGCCTTCATTACTCTGGTGCTGAACAGAAGCAGGGACTGCTCCCCACGTACATGGCAGGCAAGGTCATTGGGGGCAGGTGTTACCAGGCCTCCGGTCACTGCCTTGCCTCTCTTCCCGTTCCCACTGCTAGCTCCTACTGGCTTGCCGGGACTGCTTCCATGCCTGCCTCTCTCCCTTCCAAATCCAGCACTGCCCACCGCTGCCCCTCGGACCTTCCACCATCCCTTCACTCAGCTCAGCCTTGGATTCGATTAAATAAGAATCTACAGGACACTCTGCCCCCGCTGCCTCCTTCACCCCAGCATCTTGGGACTCTAATTCCATTTGGCCCTTGACTTCTAGGGGACAGAATTCGGGGTTACCAGAGCCCAGACAGGCCTGCAGCAATGTGCCCTCTTAGGTGGACACCAAGTTACAGGTGACTCTGAGGCAGACAGGATGGGACATAATGGAAAGAGAGGATACTCAAGGAAAAAACAAAGGTTAAAAGCAAAGAGCAACGATTTTTAAAGAGGGGAAGAGAAACGAAGAGTCTCAGCAGGGAGAAAGCAATCAATATGCATGGAGAGGCAGGTTAATTAAATATGGATAATGCAATCAGCCCACATGGGCACCTTGAAGAGGAAAGAGAAAAGCAAAAGCCATACTCACTGTCTTTGACCGGTCCTCATGGCCTGCAGGTCTTTGCCAACTGGATGGTCAGAGAGGCTGCAGGCTAAGGAGTTCTGGGGAAAGAGTAGATCTTTCTTTTAGCAGTCAGATCCTCGGTGGGTGAAGAACATGTGTGCATGGATGCACAGGCACACTCGTGCGTGCACACACATATATACACACGCATGCACGCACAACACCCCTCCCACCACTCGAGCCGGGCAGCAGGCGGCCCCGCTGAAAGCTCTTCTCTCTGCTTGTCACATCCAGTAAATACTGAAGCAGCCTACACCCAGCGGGCGGCGGCTCAGCTCCCGGGCACAGTCTGCACGCCCATCCTCATTGGCAGGATGCAGGAGGTGCCCCTGAACAGAGCTCGCCTGGCACTCCTCCCGTACCTTCCTCTTCAGCCTCACTAACCTGCTTCCCTGCTCCTCTGGCTGCAGCTCAGGGAGAAGTCCCCACAGCCCAAAGCTGCCTCCCTCTGCACCCAGAGGCTGTGCAGGGGGCAGCAAAGCCGTAGGTATTAACTCTTTCCGGCCACCAATGAGCTGAAAATCAAGTGTCCAGGGGGCCCTCTTCTAATGAGCTCTGCTGCTGGCTGAAGGCTGGTTGCTGCTCAGGGAGCAGGGAGCATAAAGATCTTGCCCCAGACAGCTGCTGACAGCAGGAGCCAAGCCGAATCAAATCTCCTAATGAGCCAGGAGGAGGGGGGCTGTCTTGCTGGGTGTGATGTGATGTGATAAATGCAGAGAGCAAGAAAGCTACGGGGCAGGTCACACATCTAAATTCCACCCCCTTTCTCCCAATTTCTATTGTGCTTCACTACCAAGCCAAACCACACAGCCCTGAAATTACCCCCTCTGCCACATCTCAGCTGTCCCCCTTACTCTACGAAGGCACTTCTCCCCCGTCTGTCTCTACTCCCACCCCCCAGCACCAAACACACCATCACTCCTGACTTCTTAATGAGAAATTTCCACCTCTTCTGCCTCCTTAAAACATGTATATTTCCAATTCTGCTGGCTTTTCCTACAGTGGAAATTCACCTCTCTCCCTCATCCATCACCTAGCAACTTCCCCCTACTTGCATTTGTTATGGAGTGAGACTTTTCCCTTTGTTCTGCCCAATCTGCACATTATCCCTATTTTTCTGTCTTCTGCATTTTTTTGTCCTTCCAAACCACCTTACCCACATGGACCTTCACACTGTCTGGTTCACTCCTCCTCCAGAAGGAGGACTCCCTCTTCCTGCCTTCCTGTTTGCCCTAGTACAGTAGTTCTCTGAGTATCCCCCCCCCCACACCACCCTCCACCAGCAGCTGTCAGCATCACCTGGGAATGTGTTAGAAATGCAAATTCTCAGGCCCAACCCCCAGACCTACAGAATCAGAAGCCCAGGGGATGGAACCCACTCTCCCAGGTGATTCTGATGCATGCTAAAGTTTGCAAACTGCTACCCTGGGACAAAGCTGACCTCCTCCACATTCTACTCTAGTCTCTAAGGCTGGATCTCCTGCTCCCACTCAGGAACTAGCTCCAAGCGTACCGAACCTTTGCCACAAGTCATATCGGACACCTAGAAGGCAGCATTTGCTACAGGCAGCAGAAATCTCTATAGAAGGTGATGGCTTTATAATAAAAATATTAGATTCCATTTGTTTAACCTTTCATAATGTGGAAAGCATGTTCGTGTATTGTTTCTCAACAATCCTATTCCATAGTCAGAGTATTAATCTCCCCAAGTTACAGATGAGAAGATTGAGGCTAGAAAAGGTAGCATGCCTTTTTCTAAGTGACACAACACGTCAGGGGCAACTCAAGGACCAGACTTGTTTTCTTAGAACTCTTACAGCAGAGCTTTCCCTACTACGTCACGCTGGGACCGAATTCCTGGCAGGTCTGTTGGTGCAGAAGCCATATTCTCGCAGTGATAGGAGTATGCCTCAAGCACACACTGACGACAGGATGAAATAAAAAGTCTGATGCTGCCTCCACAGTGACTCATTGTCTCTCTCTGGAAATGTCCATAGTGTGCCTCTGTTAGGTAAATGGAACTTCGTGTTATAAAATGAGATGCAAGAAAAATGTTTTCCATTCCTCAAAGCCCCTGTCTTGAACCCTGACGCTACCTGGGGTTTAGAATTTAAGCATAGGGGGTGCCTGGGTGGCTCAGTTGGTTGAGCGTCTGACTCTTGGTTTTGGCTCAGGTCCTGATCTTGCAGCTTCGGGGGTTCAAGCCCCGCATCACACACACTCCATGCTGACAGCAAGGAGCCTGCTTGGGATTCTGTCTGTCTGTCTCTCTCTCTTTCTCTCTCTCTGCCCCTTCCCTGCTCTCTCTTTCTCTCTCTCTCTCTCTCTCTCTCTCTCTCTCTCTCTCTTGCTCTCTCTTGCAAAGCAAATAAATTTTTGAAAAAGAATAAGAATTGAAGCATAAAGAGAATCCTTTGCTTCTAGACATTTTCTTGATACATGGCAACCGTAAGAAACAAGTTCACATGTAAACTGTGAATACGGCCCATTGATAAGCACTTCCCTAATCCAAGAGAAGTTATTCCACAAGGTGGATCCTCTCCGATTCCATGCATACAGCCTTTTTTAAACAAGCACTCAGTATGTGCCAGACATTGTGCTCAACGTTGCACCGCTGCTGTCTTATTTAACTCTCACAACAAACTTACAAGGCTGACATTTTTATCGTCCCCATTTTACAGATGGAGAAACAGAGACAAGTCACTTAAAAGTGGCAGAGCTGGTGCCTGATACCAAACTTCCTGTTTCCAACCCTTGCTATGACCCTTGCTTTTAACACAAAGGTAGCATCATCATGGGACTCCTCTTCTGGTGCTAAAATTGTGAGATAAAGGCCTCCTCCAAGTCCCAGGCTGCCCCATCTGGCATCCAGGATTGAAAGGCACTGAGGAGTTAGGGCAGCACTGCAGATGGGCCCAAGTCTCACGTGGGGGCTGACTAGTATTAACTTGGCATCATAATCTTCAATTAGCCATTGGAGAAATGATATAGTCCTAGGAAGTCAATAAGCCAACCCAAGTGTTTAAGGAAAGATAGAATCATTAATAAAAATTTAAGGAACATGGGGCGCCTGGGTGGCGCAGTCGGTTAAGCGTCCGACTTCAGCCAGGTCACGATCTCGCGGTCCGTGAGTTCGAGCCCCGCGTCGGGCTCTGGGCTGATGGCTCAGAGCCTGGAGCCTGTTTCCGATTCTGTGTCTCCCTCTCTCTCTGCCCCTCCCCTGTTCATGCTCTGTCTCTCTCTGTCCCAAAAATAAATAAACATTGAAAAAAAAAATTTAAAAAAATTTAAGGAACAGCAGGAATATAAAGAGCTAGGACATGCATCTAACATGAGTAAAAAGAAAAAATTAGGGGTACCTGGGTGGCTTGACCAGTTAAGCCTCCGACTCTTGATCTCGGCTCAGGTCATAATCTCACGGTTTGTGGGTTTGAGCCCCTCATCAGGTTCTATGCTTACAGCACGGATCCTACTTAGGATTCTCTCTCTCTCTCTCTCTCTCTCTCTCTCTCTCTCTCTCTCTCAAAGTGAATAAATAAACTTAAAAAAAAAAGAAAAATGAAAGCTAGTCCAAACTTTTTTTTTTAACCCAAACATTCCTAAACATCAAAGTGTAACTACACCGTACCCTAGTTTGAGAAGCACAGACCTAGTACAGGGTCCCTCTCAGGGGAGGACTCTAACTTAATCTTTCTTCCTATAGAGGCAGGTACACTAGGCATTCCAGTGGGGGCAGGGTGGGGGGCTCAGCAGAGTGGAGGGGGTCCACATTCGGGCATGGTCTCCTCTCCTGAAGGAGAGAGACAGGGAAGGGCACGCAGGGAGGGGTAGTAGTGACAAAGGCACTCACCTACTTGCACTGTTTCCCTGGGGTTAGAGCCCTGGCCCAGGAATACAGAGCCCTGGATTCTCTTCTGGTCACTGCTCCTGAGTTGCTGGCTGCAGACTCGGCATAGGACATCTCAGCCCGGACACAGGGTTTTTCCCAGGAAAACAGGCATCACAAGCCCTGCTCTCACTCTGAGTTTCTCACTCTTCCCTGCCCCTCTCAGCTCTTCTCCCTCTCCGTTTGTTCCTCCTGGGAAACCCAACCTCTGGCAACCGTGCTTCAGTCCTGCCTCTTTTCCAGAGGACAGCCAGACAACTCCATCCCCCTCAGACTCTGCAGATGCAACTGTGTCCGAAACAACCTCCTTTCCCTCCAAATCCTCCCTTCCTGCTGGGCTCCCTATGCTTGCTCATGACAGTGCTCTGTCCTAGCCCCAGGGTAGTGAGTAGAGGTATTTCTGGCTTCTTTTTCTCTTGCCCCGTTGAACTGATTTTTAAAATTTCTCATTACATTTCTGAACTATTTCTTAACTTTATCCCCTCTCATTCATTGACATTGCCGTTCAGAGGTCATTGGGCACCCAGCTTGGTGCATTCCTCTTCCACTCCCTCCTAAGTAGCTGATCTTCCTGCCCCCATTTCGATGCCTCCCCCCACCCCCCATAAACCTCATGGCTCACTACACTACCACCAGAGTGACCCACTGAACAGGTACCATAAAGTGAATCGTCTCTATAGTCATTTTCGATGGGCTTCATTGTGGCAATGTGTCCTACCTGACATCCTGACAATTTGGTCCCATTTGCCTATCCGGTCTTGTATCCCATTGTGCACACACACGTGCCTGATTCCTCTGCTGCCTCCTCTGCCCAGAATGTTCCCCCACACCCTGGATCTACCCTCTTAACTCCCAGTTCCTTCTCTCAACCCAATACCTCCAAAATAAAAATTCTCCTTTCCAAAGCTTTTTCAGAACACCCTCAATCAGAAAAGGAATCCCTCCATCCCAACACCACCACATTGCCGTGTGACTCTGACAGCCCCCATCACAGTCTATAGTTTATCCTTGTGATTTATGTTTTCCGATCCTCCCAAATGACTACGTGTTCCACAAAGACAGACTCTGACTTACTCCCCTTGCTATCAATTCTCATTGCCTCGTCTGAAGCAGGTGTTTAATAAATGTCAGCTGGATTTGATTTTGAGCTCA